GAAATAGTGACTTGTCTCTTTGAACCTCAGTTCCTCGTGTGTGATATGCACACTGGTACTTCTTGTTCCACATAGAGATTGCTAAATATATAAACCCTTGGTGGCAGGGGCAGGTACCTCAGGTAGGAGAGGAGGGATTAGAGTGTTGTCATTACAGGTAATTGAAATAGCTCTAGAAGACGTATGTGAGTGGACTTGACCTTGTTATAAGGTTAAGCAACTGATAGATAAGATACGAAAGATTTACCTGGTAAGAAGGTTCTGTTATTGTGTGGCAGTCAAAGTATGAAATTGAGCAGTGGCTTTTAGAAGTAGAATTTTGAATGGACTACATGAGAAGTGTATTCACACCTGTCAGGACTATCAAATGGTGGAGTAGTGACCTGATGAGGATTTAGCAGAGAGAAAAGGCTAAATTATTGTCAAATTGGAACCATGAACTGATTTAAATACATGGTTACTTTTTCTTAGTGGTCCTCGAGTTCACTTCTACCTTTTCCTCCATGAACTGGTGTTTTATAAATTATTTTCTCACCTTTGGACTAATTATGGTCAGGTTATTTGTCCTGTTTAGATGGACTTAGTTTTACTTTACAGAGAATAATGTGATATTGCAGCTAATGTTGCACATTTGGTCTTGCAAAATAATCATCAAGAAAACCTACTAATCTAGCAAAAGAATCTGCTTACAATATATTCTGTCTGCTACTGTTATAACTAGAGCATGCTAACTTTAGATTGATATGTATCTTAAAAGATAGTATCTCTTCCATTTCAATTCCTTTCCTTTCTAAAATAGGTATGCTGTTTTTAGGATCTACTCTGTGACCACTTAAGTTGTCAAAAGCTTTTTGAAACACCATTACAGAATTTGAAGTCTTTGAAGCCTACGCAGCCTATTAGTGTTTTGTATTACTGAGGAAATCCCAGCATCCCAAAATGCTTTTGAAACGGGAAATATTTGCTTCCTTAAGGGAATTGATTTGAACTTAGAAATATTACCGTACATTGCGGTCTGCTTGTTGCTGCCTTGTTACTTTTAGATTAGAGATGATTACATAGCCGTAGTATTGGCAGCTGTGAGAGTAGTTCCTCTGTTCTTTGACTACTCTCAGATTTCTGAACCAATAGCTGGCGTAGATGCAAGTGAACTTAGCCCTTGTCAACAATGTTTGCTTCAGACATTTTCAGCTAAACATTTAAATTTGCTGTTTTTGTTCTGCATTCAATGCTTTGTACCATCTGTTTATGATGACTTTGTGCAGTAGGAGTAAACATTCAGACCGAACTGTTAGAGATGTTATTGTATGTCATGGCAGGACAAATGATCTTTTTTGTGATTATTTGTTGCTAAAGAGGTAGGTAGCTTTTGTTGCTATTGTATGTATGTGTAGTAGATTGTTAGGTGCAGGTTTTAATTATAGTACATAAATACTGGAGATGAATTTGCTATTTTACAGTGTGTTAGTCACATACTCCCAAAGATCTCCCAAGCAATGGGGTATGTTGGTGTCTGTAATAACCAATACAGTAAATGACCCAGGCAGGACATGCACCATCAGCTTGTGGGGACCTTCATAAAAGGTTTCTGTGGTTGATAGGATAAATGTTTCTAGACTTAGCTGCACTGAAAGCCCTTGCTGTTCTGGTCTAGGGTCATCTAATTCTGACAAAGATGGAACTTGAATTAAAATGCTAGCAGTTGTTAACAACATGTTGTCATACCTACTGGACTAATAATGTAGCAGTGTCTCTGTCACTGGACCTCTTGGCATCTTGGTGTATTTTGAATGTGTGGTGAGACATGTACCATTTCTGTTCACTCAAGGTCTTCTCATAGCTGCAGAGAAGTAGGGCAGCATTTCAGGAATCTGTAATACTGAAGCACCAGTGTGGAACCTCTATTCCAAAGAAGTCTTGTTCAGAGAGCTACAAGATGGGGTGGTTATTTAAAGGAGGATCTTTCTGATGGTGGGGGAATGTGTACTCTCTTGACATTTGTGGAGTTGTGTCTGAGGCTGGGATAGGAAAGATATATGAAGAAAAAAGTTGCGAAGGCCAGGGAAGACAGAGAATTGGAACAGATTAGAGGAGAAGGTTATGGGTTAAATAGTTTTGAGTTGCCTGTCTGTGATAACATCCTAGAGCTTTCCATGCATCTGGCGGTCTTACATCACTGATCTTTGATTTTTATCTGAAGAAAGTCATGGTCTCCCTCATTGTGGAGGCTGATCTGAAGTTTCTGGTTCTACTCTTGGTGTCGTAGTGCTGTGCTGCTGGCAGAATTTGTCATTTGCTGCTAGATGCGTAGTATCAGTTTCCTTTATTTAAATTCTTAAGCAACTTGCAAAGACTACATTGAAACAACCTCTAAGTTGTCAAGTCAAACAACTCATAAATTCCAGAATTGAGTTTGCCTCTGGTTTGTTAATTAAGCTCTCTTGCTGCACCTTATGATACCATCTTTAATTACACGATCACATTAGTTTTTCCAAAGCTGCTTGCTTCATGCACAGGACAGATCTGCTAAAGGGTGAATCAGGGCTGTGCAGTGAAGGACGCTTTTGCCTGGAGGAGTCTGTTTGACTTCTACAGAAATTGAAAGATTTCTCTTTGAAGGAGAGAGCTGACAAAGAAGAAACTGGCAGGAAGTGGACAGGTGATCTGAAGAATTGGTCAATTAAATATTCCTTGGATGATTATGTATGGTATTAAGCAAACTACTTAGAGCAGACTTTTTCTAAATTGTTTCTAAGCATCATACATCTTGTTTTCCGAATGCTGAGCTCTCAGAGCTACAAGTAGGTCACCAGAAGTTGTGTATTTAACATCTAGTGGTACCTGCTTATAATAAATGATAATAATGTAATGATAAAAAACCCGAGATCCTGGACTCTGAAGCTGGGTTCTTAAATCTACTTGCTACTTTGGTCTCTGGTCATTTTGGTGGTTTTTTTAACCTGTACAGGAACATCAGTAATGTAAAAATAGTACTATTAATTTTGCAGGACTGTTTAAAGAAGTAGCAGTAGACTGGTTCGTGCCTTCAAGTAAATAAGCCCATGAAACAAGCTGTTGGGAAGGAGAATGCTTGAAAGTGTAAGGCCTGTGTAAGCATGAAAGAGATAGGCATGTGAGAAGTGTGGGTGGAGTAAGGGAACAAGGAGTATAGACTTTAATATTTTGTAAGGGATTCCTTCCATTTCTAGCATTGGCTGACTCTCATGAGCCAATTCTCACTGTTTTTGCACAATACTCTCCAGTACACCTGGTTCTAGGTGGTTTATGATCTGCAGAGCAGCTTGTATGTAGTGTCAGGTTCATTTTGGAAGTGGTGTTACCCAAACAGTGCAGGGTTTAGGCTGTTTATGTATGGAATGTGTTATCTGTGATAAAGGATGAACTAGACTGTGTTAGTTATATTACATAAGGGTGCTTATCAAATGCATAGGAAATATTGTGTTAGTTATATAACATGAGGGTGCTTATCAAATGCATAGGAAATACATTTTAAAAGTAGAAAGAAGTAAGGGTTAGGATGGAGGAGGGAGGTTGATCATGCAATTGAATCTTGAACATGTGCACACACACACACACGTGTGTGTGTGTACATGTGCGTGTGTGTACATATATATATCCAGGAGAATGCATAACCATTTCTTGCTTTTTGCTTGCCTCAGAAATCTTAAGTGTTGTACTCTGTATATGTTTGGATTCTGAAAATGGCAAAAGTTGCTGTTACTTTTGAGACAGGCTGTATGACTTCCTGTGCTGACAGTTTCAAGAATATAAGCAGAGCATACATGTAGGGAGCAGAGATGTCTACTACAGAGAAAAGATTTTCATCTTTTAAGGTACATGCAGAGAAATCCTTTCCTTACTGGCAAAAAATTGCTGTATAGGCTGTGACAATTTATGGTGCAAAAAATTCTGTTTGTTGTTTGGGCCTTTTTGTTGTTCGTTTGTTGTTTGCTATGGCCCCAAACTGAATTAAATTAAATGCCTACTTGGTTTGAAAAATGGAGAATAAAAATGTAAACCTTATGGAGGGCAAAAACAAAAGAAGGGGAAATGTGTGACTTAGATATTGGTGCTTGAGGGAATAATATGTTTGCTTAAGCCTCTCAAATACCTGGAAGATACCAGTCTTTGTTTCATTTTAACTTTTGCCTGCAGGTGTGCAACTACTTTGATACTTAGATATCTAGGATATTAAATAGTGGATGAATGTTTCAATGTCTGATCCTGTTTTAATACAACATCTCAGTTTATTTGGCTTTGGCTACATGAAGGTTTTATCTTTTATGTTGTTTGGTTTTGTTTACTTTGGTATTGACACAGATGCACCCTTCTACTACAATATGGTGTTCTACAGATGTTTTCAGCAGTTCATGATATGGTTTGTGGCAGAAAACTTCTAAGAATTTGTCATTATATTTATTATTGGAAATACCATTTAAAAAATAGCGAAATAACCTGTACTTTTTTTAACCTGTGTAGTCTATGAAACATTACTTTCTAAGCAACTCTGAAGAAAGACATGGTCAGATGGCAAAAATGTCATAACAAAACACGGAAAATGTAGTGACACAGGCATAAAATGTTTACTGCATAAGCTTCTGTTGCACTTATTTATTTCAGTAGCACCTTATTTCAGTCACTGATCTCAAACGTTTGAGCATTATAAGCTATTATCATGAGCAAAAGTTTGAGAATATGGCCCCATATAATGTGTTATAAGAAATTCTATCCTCAAACTGAATTAAAAGAAAAAAGTTTTCGTGTTCTAAGTATGTTTGGTTTAGTTATACACTATAATATGATGTGCATAGGTATATGTATGTTTCTTTTTATTTTTGTTTTAAACAGATTTCTGTGGATACCAAAGCTCAAGACACAATATCAGTCTCATCATGATGCTTGAATATCTGTAGCTCACTGGAGGATTTAAAAAAGAAGTTCAGCATGGCCTAGTTGGCTTGACCTTTGGAAAATTTATAATGTCCTCTGGAACCAGTATCAGCAGAATTCGTCAGGCTCCCAGCCTGCAGGGTGTTGACCCAGAAACATGCATGATAGTGTTTAGAACACACTGGGCACAGGTAATGTTAATTAGTTTTATTGATTTGAAGTAAGCTGCATTAATAGGAGTTTGCTTCATTCTTTCTTTTGGGCTACTCTTGAATTGCTCAGGAACAAATGTCTTTCATGCAGAATGCAGAAGATGACACTGAAATATTTTTAAAATGCAAAGATAATTGACCTTTCAAGGTATGGTTAGCCTTTGCTAATCACACTTTGAACTCTGGATTTGTGTCTAAATGGGAAGTGGTAGGACATGGTGATATCTTACAGAAGGCCTAGACCTTCTTCCTGGCTTTCCTATTGATTTGCTGTGCCTTGTACGGTGCTGCAAACTTTGGTGCTTCCTTTGCTTGTGCTGGGTAAGGCTTGGCTATCTTTTGTAAAGTATATTAGATGCATAGTGCAAAGCTATATGCAGTGTTGTTTATTATGGATAGATGTAGATTATGCAGTTCAGCACATTCTAAAAACTGTTTGCATGTCATCAGGATTATAATTGCTTTGAGGCAAAGATGTTTTGCTCCGAGCACCATAATATAAGATCTTATTTGCTGCAGTAATATGAATAACTAATGGTTTATGTAAAATTAGTTTCTGTGCTGCTGCTTTTTTTTGTTCTTTGGCTCTCCCAAGAAGCAAGTCAGACATATGATGGTGTTTCTAAGATGTTTCCAGAGTCAGAGGAGCCATTGTTCAACAGTCACCTTTTCTCACTCAACTCTAGTGATACTGTCATGTTAGGGGAGCCACTATTCCTTTGTGGTCTTGTGGCAATTATCCTCCACAAAAGGACAAAAATGATGGTTGTTTTACAGAGAATGTGCTTCATTGTTTGTGTGCAGAACAGGATTTAATCCAGGGTTATAAGTGCTTGGATGACAATTATTATCAATCCTATACTTGTATTGAAAGTTGCAAGAGTATGTGGGCATCAGTGGCCATCTGGTATCCTGTAAGATGTGGCAAGGAGAGACCAGGGCCATGGGCTTCTGCTGCTACTCCTTCTGCAAATCATCTCATGATACATACTCCTGTGCAGTTAGAAGAGCAGGCCCTTTGATTTCAGTCCTCTATGACAAAGAAACCTACCCAGACATCATTGAAACGCAATTTCTGAACACCAAGGAAACTTAGTTTATCCCTATTTCACAGAACCTCTGGTTTCCAGCAATAGGACAAATGGGAACTTTAGTTGCTTTTTAAAAACTGAAAGTGAACAAATGGATTAGGCTTTGACCTCATATATGCCACATGTGAAACTTATTTTTCTGTCAAGCTTTCTAAATTTGAAAGAGTAAAAAAACTTTATGCTTTTTGTGTTAAGAATTTTGATTAATTTTTTTCATTATAGTGTCAAGCATGTGTTTATTCAAATGCATTCAAACTGCTCTGCCCTTGTTTCTCTTCAGGTTCTGAAAATCTTAGAGAAGCATGATCCTTTGAAAAACGCCCAGGCAAAGTATGGGGCAATCTCACCTGATGAGGCCAGCACTGTTCAGAATTATGTGGAGCACATGCTCTTCTTATTAATCGAGGAGCAAGTGAAGGATGCCTCAATGGGGCCTATTCTGGAGTTTGTGGTTTCGGAAAACATCATGGAGAAGCTTTTCCTTTGGAGCCTACGGCGACAGTTCACCGATGAGACAAAAATTGAGCAACTCAAAATGTATGAAATGCTAGTAACTCAGTCTCATCAGCCTTTACTGCATCATAAGCCCATTTTGAAGCCTTTGATGATGTTGCTGAGTTCTTGCTCAGGTACAGCCACTCCAACAGTGGAAACAGAGTTGGTCATCCTCTTGAACCAGCTCTGCTCTATAATAGCCAAAGATCCCTCAATTTTAGAACTGTTTTTCCACACTAGTGAGGACCAAGGAGCTGCCAATTTCCTCATATTTTCCCTGCTGATTCCCTTTATCCATCGAGAAGGAACAGTAGGCCAACAGGCCCGTGATGCGTTGCTTTTCATAATGTCTCTGTCTGCAGAAAACAACGTTGTTGCAAAGCACATAGCAGAAAACACCTATTTTTGCCCAGTAAGTTGTTCTTATTTTGTGTGGTCTTCAATGCTAAACTGTCTCCCCTGCATTCCTTTAATCCTTTTCTGTCAGTTTTGATAAAGATGTGTTGTAACACATTTGTTTCTGCTAACAACTATTTCACAAATGGTAATTATGTTTAAGCTGACCCTAATGCCAAGCACAGTTGCTTCTTGTTTCCGTTCCAGTGTCTTGTGCTTTTGGTCCAGCACAAGTGTTTTTGCAGTCACATAGTGAATTGAACTGGGAACCTGATGGAAGTTATAGCAGAACATGGTGTGAGGGAAACCTGTTGTGTTTCACTGTGCGGCACCTTTGAGATTCTGGGGCTGAAGGGAATGAGAAACATGAACAAGGTGTTCTGCATCGGTTGTTTCTGGTTGCAGCACTATCTTAAGTGGTGCTTGCCACACTGACACCAGATGAACAAGTGTGAAAATGGTGTGAGTGTTACACAAGTGTAGTATTTTGGCAAGATAGAAGGGAGATTTGCTCATTGTCACAGAATTGGATGTTTCTGTGGCTGTCTCAGGCAAACAACCATCTTGCTATATTGTTCTCTATTACAAAAGTTGGTAGTGCTGTTGCATTGTTACATCTGGCAAATCAAATCAATCAATACATGAACAGAAAACCTTTGCTGTTAAGTAAATAATCTAATTTAGCTAACAAAGCTGTCCTACTGCAGTTTTAAACCTAAAGCAGAGTGCTGTAACAACACCTGCTTCTTCATGCCTTACCACAAAAATGAGTTTGAGATCTGAAATGAAAGTGTTCAAACCCAAATATCATTCTGTGCAAAAGTTGCCAGTTGTGTACAAAAGTATGTCAGTTTTGGGACTGATTCTTTTATCTTCTGCATGGCTTGCATTTCAATTTGATAAACGCCAGAAAAAAAACTTGAAGTGGTGAAGAGCCTTATACAGCTACTAAAGCAGAGAGCTGTAGAACAGAGAGCACTAGAATCCCTGCCTTAAACACTGCCTGACAGCTGTTCAGTTGTAGGTTTCCATTTCTTCTGAGATTGCTTTGAGCAGCAGGGTAAGGCCATGTTTGCAGGCTGGGGGAGGCCTACAAGGACCAAAACAAAACTTTGAAATGGTTTCTTTTGTCAGTTGTAAATACTGTGTGTGTGATGAGAGACTCCAGTTAACCTTGTTTAATAGAAGCTGCTGAAAAACGTGATACTGATTCTCAAACTGTCCCCAAGACAGATACCATTAGTGGATTCATGCTATAACTTCTATAATTACATCTTCCAATTAATTTAGAAAAAATAAAAGAAAAAAATAAAAAAAATCAGCCTTATTACACTGAAGATAAGAGCCAGCTTTCAACAGCAGGGAGCCATGATTGACAATCATTCCAATTAGGAAAGCTTCTTGTCAAAATGTGCTAAAATCAGACTTTTCTGAACAGTAATGAGACTGGCCTAAGTCTATAATAAGACTTTAATGTAATGCCATAGATTTAGCTCACTAGCAAAATATCTTTTTTGAATTTGAGTTGTGATGAGCTGAAGAACAGATTTTGTTCTGGTGGGAGATTCTGTAGGTGTCAGTGACATTGCTGTACATGATTCAAATCAGTGCAAGTATTGCCTCAGGTACTCTGCAAAACAGTGCAGTCCTGTGCCAACAGGGGTAGCATTTGGGTGGCAGCCGAATTGTCTGGTGTGATCTCTGGTTCTGGGGCTGGGTTGGCATGTAGACTTTCCTTTATTGTGTCCTATTTCGTAGTATAGACATCCCCTGGGCTGGGGTCTGGCCACAATCTCTGCCGCCTCATATACCCTGATCAATGTTAGATCCATGCCAGAGTGAGCCCAAAGTCTTCCTTTATGCTATTTTTGACTTAACTTTAGTGAGTAGCTTTTTAAAAAATGGATTGTTCATAGTTCCACAGTATTCAAAACTGTGGATGAATAAACTATAAAGCAGGATGCAGACAGGCTGAAGTAAGATACATCAAAAACAAATGTTTTTAACCCAGAATATGTAGGCAAACTACTGGGCAAAGTTTTTTGATTTTATACCATATTATTTTTTAATCGTGTTTTGACCTGAAAGTTTCCTGAATCTGATTGAAGATATTATCTGTTCAGCATTATAATAAGAAAACAATGGTACTAAAGAATTTTGAGCAGCATAACATCTCAAAGTGTCTCTATAAAACTTTGTATTTGTAAATACCTCACAGCTTAGGAAAACAAATAAGCAGGAGGAGGGATGGCTATGCAATGTACTTGAAAAGTTGAGGCTGCATAGACTATGGATGTGGGAGGAAAGGGAATTATTAAAAGGAAGTAATTGTCCAGATAGTGATTGATTATGCATTAACAACACATTATAATCACATAATGTGTCTGGAATTACAAATCACAGTCAGTCAGTGTCTTCTGTGAGTCAAAAGAAGGTAACTAAATCAAGGAAACTGGTTTGCAGGGACTCATGACTTGATGGTGAGAAAGAAACTGCTGGAGATGCTTGTAAAAATAGATGTAGTTTTATAGGTCTGCTTATAGAATGTGAACAGTTTTGTTGGTAATTCCAAATGGTAATCCTGTTTATGTCATCATATACTTCTGTGAACATTTTCAAATTATTTTATTGAAAGAGACAAAATTGCTTCCAGTGGTTACTCTGTCTCAGTCCTTAAGAAACATAATTTCATAGAGCCATAGAAGCTTTCTACACTTTACAGATTTTAGCAGCTACATCTGTCACTTCTTACTTCAGTAAGTCTGACAAACCAAAGAATTCAAAACATTGATTGACTGTGAGTTCACTGCTCCTTATGGTGGAGAGTAGTATGTTCTGTTCCAGGTCAGTTTCTTGTGCTTAAGGACTAATACCCATATGAAGAAGAAATGTGGATAGTACACAGCTTTGAAAATCAGATTGTTTACTGAGAGAGTACTATGTGTTTATGAATAGCAATTAAATTTTAAGCAGACAATGGAAAATCAAGTGTGCATTAATTAACAGCTTGCAACACAACCGATCTCAAGTTCTCTCTTCAGAATTCTCTCTTTCCTAGAATGGTCTGAAGCCTGGGTTTGGGAGTGTGTTTCTGTGGGTTATGTGTAGGTAGTTCTATAGGCCAAGTAGTTTCTTCCTAACTTTTTTTCTGAGCTTTTATACTGTGAGAAAGAGAGGGAAAAAAGCTCGAAAAAGATTCTGGGTATACAAGAATGTGATTGTACAAATTAAGCTTTGCTCAATTCCTCTAGCTTCTTAGTTTTTTATGTATCTCCAACTCAAGCTGAGTTTTAATGTGCCCATTAAAATGAGAATCATCTTAAAAATTATCCTGAAGTTATGTAAAAATCATGCCAGAAAGTTTCTCGCTTCAAATAACTTCAATAATTAAAAACTTAATCTGAAACTACTATACCCTAGATATGTTCAGTAAAACTTAAAAGCCTTTTTGAAACTATATGTTTTAAATTGTAACTTGAAGTGCAATCTTGTGCTTCAGAGAGATATTCTACAGAAATCATCTGTAGACCTTAATGTTACTGGAAACAATGTTTAAACAGTAACTCATTTCAGCCTTTATTTCTTCCATCTTCCAAATAAATAAGAAAGAAAAATGAGAAATTATGAATCTTTGAGTGGATTCACTGAGTTTGCCTGGGAATGGAAGTCAACATATATAGCTATGTTTTGAGTGAGGCTGGACATCATTTTTGTTGAAGGGGCACTTCCCCCCTTCATTTCTAATGTTTCATATTTGCAAGTGAAATTACTTCATATAGGCAGGTGTAAGCAGTAACATTCAAATCACCAACAAGAGATAACCTGCAGATATATGAGAGTGATAGCTGTTTCTAAAGGGACTGAAGGAAAGTGCAAAATTATTTTAGAAGATTATTTTAGGAGGAATTATAAAAAAAAAATAAATCCTGATTTTCTCCATCACTTTCTCCTAAATACCTGATCTTGAAAGAAGGATATTATATGGAAGGCTCTTTAAAATATTCATGTCTTTCTCCACAGGACTCTCTGGAAAGGAAATGAAATTAATCTTACCGCTCTCTTATGTTACTAAAAGTAGTAGGAGAAACCATTTGTGGCATTGCTATTCAAGCAGATGGAGTGTTGGAAAGTTAACTTATTTCCTCTTCTGTTTCTGAAACACAGGTGCTAGCAACAGGACTAAGTGGCCTCTATTCATCTTTGCCTACAAAGCTGGAAGAAAAAGGAGAAGAATGGCACTGTCTGCTGAAAGATGACTGGCTCTTGACACCAGCCCTTGTGCAGTTCATGAATTCCCTTGAATTTTGCAATGCTGTGATACAGGTAATTGAGCAGGGTTGGCCTGTTCTTTTGTAGTGGTAGTATCTTATATCAGCTGCAGAAGTTTATTTACTTTTGTTAATGGCATGGACTTTTAAAGTTACACAAAAATAAGTTGCTTATAAAATGAATGCTTTTTGTCTGTCCTGGTTATAAAGATGAATTTGTATGTTTTTGGGTTTCAGGTGGCAAATGATTCAAATAAAAGCTTGATATTTCATTGTGTAATTGGGAGGATTTTCTGGTAAAATAAAAAAAAAGTTTATTGCATTTTAATACCACTGTTGATATTAAAAGTAAATTGAATGTGTTTACATGTGGGAAAATTAGGGGTTTATATCTGTGTTTGTCTAAGCTCTCAGAATAGCATTCCAAAGTAAACAGTGAAAATAGTCTGTTTTACCTCTTGGTGCAACATAAAGAAAGCCTTCCAAGAAGAATTTAGGTATCTTCATAGAAATATAAATTCATTTCAGATTGGCCTGGCCTGAATCCACTCTGTTCTTAATATTTCATTGTTACAAGATTTTTTTATTTGTTCCCTTACGATTTTTTTTTTTTTTTTGATCTAAATGTAAAATGAGATATTTTGCCTTTGGATATTGTTTAAAGGCTAGAAAACCTTGTAGGACCCTAGTCCAGTATTTCATTTAGAATGATAAGAATTCTACAGAAAGTGTGGATATATGTGTTATTTGAAGAAATGTGCTGGATAGGATTAAAAATTTAGTCTCATTTCCTGTTAAATAAAAGATACATTTTAATGCAATGTGTGTGTAATACAGTAAAGGAACTGATTGACTATTCAAGCATTGAACAAGCAAAAATAACAGTAACTATCTTTGTTCAAATGCAATATGCAAGATTTCTAACATGCATATTTAGACACGAAGAGGAGACAATATTCATTTTGGAGTCTAACCTGAGTTATTCTACAGATCTACATTTGCAGGAGATTGTATTTGATACCTTTGTTAAAAAAATTTATATAAAGGGTACTGCAGAAAAACTAAACAAGAATGAAGTATTTTAAAACTACTTTCCAAACAAATTCAAAATGGTTAAGGATCTCCAGCTGACATGCAGAAAGAGCAGTTTCTGACTGCTGCTTGATTCTGTCTGTGTAGTCTTTCTTCAGCTGAACTGAAAGCTCAGTTACTGAGGACGTTTTGCCGTGGAATGGCCTTTGTGGTGTGGCTTTTTCTGTGTTGACCCAAAAACTTAAGCCAGAGATTAAAAAGGGACAGTGTAGCCAAGACCTCTTGCCATTTACTATTTTTTCCCTGGATCACAGGGTAGGAAGGACCACCATTTCTCTTCCCCTTTCCAAATTAAGGGTTACAAATGAAAGGAAGTATGGTAGGAATTGCAAGTGGGAGAATGTATTTGTGGCCACATGTAGGCTGTGACATTCCAGTCTCTATGTGAACTTCAAACAGAATATATTAACCTCGAAAGCTTCTGAATGGAATTGATACTGTTTTTATTGCAAAACCAAAATGCAAAAGTAAAATTTTGGCTGCTAATAGCAACTCATTGTTTTTAGAGCTCCTAATCATCCTATTGGATGAATAATGTAGGTTTTGTTGTAATTTGTTGTACAGTGGCTGAGAGAAGGGCATGTGAACAGTATATTCTTACCCCATAGCTAGAGAGTGCTTTAGTTTGTCAACTTTTAAACCAGAGGAAAGCAACTGTTCTGCTTTGTCACCTTGCAGGAGGACAAGTTAACAATGACAAATCTACCTTCAGGTGACCCTGATGAGTTTGTGGGAACTAAATTTAGAATTCCAAATCTTTCTTTGTTACATGGATATACACACTTTTCTGTCCATCCATTCATCCTTGTCAGCATGTAGGAAGATTGAAAAGCCTTGTCTCTAAATTTGGCAGACTTACTGTAATTAAACATGGTGTGTATATTTCTCTGTAGAAGGAGCAGTCTTTAAGAACCTGAATCATAGCAAATGCTGGTGAGAAGGACAAATGAACATGTCTTGTTAGGTGGGAATGGGTTTAGATAGTGGATAATAGTAGTCTGTGCCCTGTCTTGTTTTAAATCATACTGGAACTGTTCTGTCTTTCTCTTCCTCACCCTCTTAGGTGGCACATCCCTTGATACGTAACCAGCTTGTGAATTACATCTACAATGGGTTCTTGGTGCCAGTAATGGCTCCTGCACTCCATAAGGTCAGTGATGTATGCAAGCATGACACAAAATAATAACGGGCAAAAGTATTATGAAGATCTCTGTGGAAAGATGCTATTAAATGTACTGATGTTAGTGTCCTCTATACAATTCAGTAAGTTTCTAGACTAACTTTCCATCTTTTCATTCCATGCTCTATTAAGCAAGATATAGGTGTTTCTGAAAGGGTTTTAAATTCTTTAGTGCAATCAAGAACCAAATTTTTTTTATAGTGCTAGGCTCACAAATCATCAAAAAGGCAGTGACATTTTAGACATTTCATCATGGCAGACGTGTTTCCATAAGTATTTCTTTTCCAAAGTAATGTTTTTTGAAAGGAAAATACCCAAAAGAAAAATGTTCAGTTAAGAAATAGCATGCTAATTTTAGCAACGTTGCTATTGATGTGTAGTTGCTTATCATATCTGGTAGAGCTATTTTCCTAAAGTGGAGTTTGGTACCTGTTTTCTGATGTATTAGTGTGCAATTTATGTTAATTTGAAGACAAAATTTAGATATTTCTTTGAATTTTAGGGGTTATCCTTTGCAAAATATGTGACCAATGTTGGTGAATTACCTAATTTATTTATTTTTTTGTTAGTCTGCAAAAGCTAGACTTCTGGCTGTTGCAGAATATGTCAGTTATGTCAATTCCCCATTCCTGGAGGTGTTCAAGGCCAGATTGGATGGGGCTCTGAGCAGCCTGGTCTAGCAGAAAATGTCTCTGCTTTTGGCAGGGGAGTTGGAACTAGATGATCTTTGAGATCCGTTCCAACCCAGGCCATTCTCTGGGTCTAAGGTTTCATGAATTATCAGTCTTCATTGCCCTGTTAAAGAACACATTGTTTGAGGAGATAAAGTAGGAATTGTTGAGAGTAAAACCCACCAAAATCTGCCAGAAGAGGACTAATAAATTACTTTTTGAAGGTCTCCTAATTTTCACTAGGCCTGTCCTGCAGAAAGCACTGCAGCTGTTCCGTATTCTGAGAGGACAGTGAAACACCATCCTTTGCTTTCTAAGTCTATAACTTGGTTTGGCAGCGCACGCAATTCTTCACGGTAAATAGTCACCAAGAAAGTCATAAGCACTGTAAGGACTCCTTCAATGATTCAGCAGACCTCAGACATTTGAGAAATTGGTGAGGGTTGAAGTAAAGTCTGGCTGTGATCCAGATCATGGCTGTATCCTGTCACTGAGATAGTTCACCCCCTTACCTAGCAGTAATTTTTTCTATTTCTGTATCTCGGCTTAATCCCATACCAGGACCAGGAATTAGAAGTGAAAAGTCTAACCAGTTTTAGGTCAAGGTTATGGATAAAAAGGGAGATATCAGAATGGATTCTTGTCTTAGTGAGTACTGATTTTACCTCTGAACTATTTAAGACTGATCTTAGATCATTTTGAATACTACCATGCCTCTGAAAGCCAATCTTATCAGTCAGTGAATCTGCTAACAGCCTGTTGGGTTGATTACTTCCCTGTTGACATTACTTAAATAATTTAAAGATCGCTGTTCTGATTACTTTTTTTCATGTGATGAAAATTTTGTTGAACTTCATTTATATACTCTGAAATTGAGTGAAATCATATTTCTCTTGAGATGGAGATGTTGGCTGCTAATATGTGTGAGTTTCAAGCCTAGATCTTTCTTGAACCCCTACGTTGTTTAGTGCCTTGTTCTTCCAGTAATAAACATTTCCTCGATTGGCATTAAAATTGACTTTTTCCTTGTTAAAAATTAACTCCTTGTGTATAAACTTCAAATGCATTTAATGGAGAGGATGGATTGCACCATCTAGTGGATCCAATACAAGGCTCTCACATCTCTAAGACCAAAGCTCCATACCAAAAGGAATCAAGTAAGTAGAGGCACATTTGACCTCTTTAGTCTTTCTGTCCCATGCTCTATATTAATTTAAGAGAAAATAAATATTTTGCCTACTTGCTTTTGGGACAGATGGCTTTGTGCTAAGACAGATAATTGCACTGTAACAGCTCTTTCACACATTAAAAAATTTCTTCTTGCCATTGAAAATGTTCATGCTAAATTGAGGAGTGGGCTTTGAAAACTGTATCACCCATTTAGGGTCTAAAATGTTGTAATTAACCTTTTTGCTTAAAGGAATTGGGAATGGCCAAAATGAGAGAAAGGCCAGATGTACCATGCTGATTTTAAAAACAGAAGTTCTTTCATTGAACACAATACTAAGTGGATCTTGATTTTTCTTTGAAACTCACTGAAGTTTTGGTATCATAAAGTGTACTTGTGGCTGAAGATTTCAGTTTTTATCCAGTCATTGAGTTTGGGTTGTTCTGACTTGCTCTGGCTTATGAGTTCAAATACAACGCATAATGGAGCACGGTATAAATACATGATTAGGAGGACAGATCTGTGGAAGGCTAAAGGGTGGTAAAAAGAGATGATAATTATTGGTACATCTTCCTAAGGTGTTTCTATAAATCTTGTTTCTAGAATTGAACTGGTGTAGAATAGCTGCTTCTGATAATTCTTGGTGACAGAGAGGGAAGGGAGGGAGGAAGGAAGGATGGAAGTCTAGACCTCGTGGCATTCAGGCATTAACATCCCACATCCAATCTGACACCCGTGTTTAGCCTTGATGTAAAAATCAGAAGGGAGATGAGCTTCTGGCTCTGCTCTTGAATCACTGTTGGACACACATACTATTTCAAACCTGATCTTTCTCTATTATATTTTAATTTTTCTTCAAGAAGTAATGTTTTAAGTACAAAAGTGCTCTGGAGCAAGACATAGACTTGCATTTGTTGTTCTTGCAAAGACAATTCCAATCAAGAATATAGACATCTAGGAGAGAAGTCTTCAACCTTTTCTATTCTCAGTGTGATAGAATTTTATTTCTGTTTAAAGCAACAGCAGCAACATAAACAAATCATGTTAATGTGATTTCTTGTCTGGTCACCAAATCAAGTTTAGTTGATTCAAGTATATAAAATAAAATAAGCAAAACAATTGTACAAGCACTCTTAGATAAATTGCATAGATAATAGTCTTACTAGCTTTTAATCCCTCATGGAGTAACAACATCAGTTTGCCTTAGCAACCAGTGTGTTCAGGTATGAACAAAATGTCTGGTATGAGGAAGGAGGGTTACTCACTTTTGGAATAAAATTAAACCTATACTGTAGATGATGGGTGTTGGCCAGTCTCTTCCTTCTCACCTCTTCACAGAATCACAGAATGACTGAGGCTGGCAAGCATCTCTGGAGATCATCCCATTGTACCCTCTCTCCTTGGAGCAGGGTCAGCCAGAGCAGGTTGCTTAGGGATGTGCCCAGTTGGGTGATGAATATCACCAAAGATGGAGATGGCACACCATCTCTGCACAACACTGTTCCAGTGTTTGACCACCTACTGTTTGTATGGCAGAAAAGCGTGTGGTCTTTGCTTTTTTTCCCTGATGTCTTGTTGGAATTTCCTGGGGCACCACTGAGAAGAGTTTGACTCTGTCTTTGCTTCTTCCCAGCAACTGTTTACACATGTGGATAAGATCCTGCCTGAACCTTCTCTTCTTCTGATTGAAGAGACCCAGCTCTCTCAACCTCTTCTCATATGATAGATGCTTCCATCCCATAAACATCTTTGTAGACCTTTGCTGGACTTGCTCCATCGTGCCAGTGTGTCACTTGGATACATGAGCCCAGCACTCTATATGTGTCTTGCCAGTACTGAGTAACCAAGCTGCTAGCAGTGTTCTTCTTAATGTAGCCCAGGAGGCTGTGGGTCATCTTTGTCACAAGGACACTTGTATTGCTGGCTCATGACTGATCTTTTTGTTTAGAGGGACCTGCATGTTCTTTCTTGCAAAGCTGCTTTACAGCCTGTTGGTCCTTAGTGTGCACTTGTGCCTGGGGTTATTCCATCCCAGGCACAGGGCTTTGCATATGTTATGGATCTTCATGAGGTTCCTCTTTTGCATCATTCTTCAGAATGTCAAGATCCCTCTGAATAACTGCATAGCCATCCATTCTGTCAACTGCTCCTCCCAGTTTTGTAACATGTGCAAACTTGCATGAGGCCACACTCCATCTTGACATCTAGATCATTAATGAGGGTATTAAACAGTAATTGCCTGCCTCAACTAGTTTTTTGATCCACCTCACTGTCCACTTTTCCAGTGCATTCTTCGTAATTTTGTCTGGCGACATTGTACAAGAGACTGTTGAAAGCTTTGCGAGCTAAATAATAATTGCTCTCAATTTACCCATCAAGCCAGTCATCTTATTGTAGAATGCTATCAGGTTGATCAGGCTTGATTTCCCCTTCTGACTACTCCCAGGCACCACCTTCTCCTTAATGTTTTAAAAATGGCCTCTACCAGCCTGTAGTTCCCTGGATCATCCTTCTTGAAGAGTGAAGCAGTGTGCTTACTTCTGATTCTCAGCAGCCTCTTTGGGTAGCCACAACCTTTCAAGAGCCAAGAGTAGCCTTGACAGTCAAGAGTGCAACACATCAGGCCTCACATACTCACATGTATGCAGTTTGCTTAAATGTTTCCTAATCTGATTCCTCTCCTCTAAGGGCAAGTCTTCCTTTTTGCAGACTTTCACTCTCACCTTAGGGACCTGAGATTAGCAAAGGCAAATCTTTCCAGTAAAGACCAATGTGGTGAAGCACTGAGTACTGTGACTTTTTCAATGTATTTTGTCACCAGATCCCTGTCCCCAGTCAGCAGTGAGCATGCATTTTTCATGAGTGTGGGTTTGTTTTTTTTTCTGTTGAAACTCTTTTTCAACTCCAGCTGGGTTTTTGTCTTTCCTAATTCTTTCCTTGCACACTCAGGCAGTTTTCCATATTTTTTCTGGGTCACCAGTCCCTGCTTCTGGCTCTTCATGTTTCATATCTGTTCAGAGCTCCTGGTTCATCTACACAGACCTCTTGTCTCTTTTCCTAGACTTCCTTCTCTTCTCCCAACTTAAAACATCTGACTATCAAAAAAGACTTTTGGTACAAGTGGTATAAGA